GCGCACTATAGCAGTGCGCCACCGGGCCGGCCCTTTCATGAACTTTTAGAAGTACCCTTGTATTAGTTAGGAATTTTGTTTGATGCTAGTGACAGAGAACAGATATAAGAAACCAGACATTAAACAAGATAGAAGTTTATTTTTCTCTCACATAAAAGTAGTCTGAGAAAAGGCAGTTCAAGACCAGCATGGTGACTCCCTGGTCCACAGAGACACATGCTCCTTCTGTCCTTGGTTGCACCATCTTTAGCACTTGGCCTCTCTCCTTATGGTTGCCTCATGGTTCAGGATGGCTTCTGGGGCTCCAGATCACATCTACATTCCAGAAAAGAAGCAGGAAGTGGGAGGGAGCACAGAAAAGGTTTTCCTGTATATCTAATCCAGTGACTTCCACTTATATCATATTGGTCTTTTTCTCAGCAAGTAAAGCTGAGAAATGTAGACTTTTTTTTTTTCAGGTACATTGCTTCCCAAAATAAAACTGCAGTTTTATTCCTGAAAAGAAGACATTGTGGGAGAATGGGTATTGTGTAGGCAACTATCACTCACTGTCAGAAACAGAATGAAAGAGCAGAACTCCAAGAAATAAGGCTGGCTGGTCGGCTCACCTGGCTGGAGTGTGGTGCTGATAACACCAAGATCAAGGATTTGGATCTTATCCTGGCCAGCTGCCAAAATAAAATAATCCTTGCCTGACATACAGAAGTGGCAATTTCATATAATTCAACTTACTAAGAGTTAGTTTCGTGTGTGTGTGTGTGTGTGGGGGGGGGGGGTTACTTAAGATCTACTCAGCAAATTTCAAGTGTGTAATATATTATTATTAACTATAGTCACCACGCTGTACAATTGGTCTCCAGAACTTACTCATCTTATAACTGAAAGTTGTTTTATTTTTATTTTTTAATTTTTTTGGCGGCTGTCTGGTACAGGGATTAAACCCTGGACTTTGGTTTTACCAGCACTGCATATAACTGGAAGTGTGGACCCTTTGACCAACATCTCCCCATTTCCCCTGCCACCAGACTCCTTTCTAACCTCTGTTTCTTTTTTTTTTTTTTTTTAAGATGACCAGTAAGGGGATCTCAACCCTTGACTTGGTGTTGTCAGCACCACGCTCAGCCAGTGAGCGAACCGGCCATCCGTATATAGGATCCGAACCCGTGGCCTTGGTGTTATCAGCACCGCACTCTCCCGAGTGAGCCACAGGCCGGCCCCTTAACCTCTGTTTCTATGAGTTCAAATTTTAGATTCCACATCTAAGTGAGATCATGCAGTTTTTGTTTTTCTATGCTTGGCTTATTTCTCTTAGCATAATGTTCTCCAGTTACTTGATTCTTCTGAACTCAGAAAGTACCAACTGCAAAGGGCTGTTGGAAGTACTAAATTGTGTATCAGATCTGGAGCACTTGCTACAGTGCCAGGCACATAGTAAGAGCTCAATAGATGTGGGAAGAAAAAAAGGAAAGCCTTTGTAAGGAGGCGTCTTTTGAGCTGAGACCTAAATGATGAGAAAGAAGTAACTCCATGAAGATCTGAGAAGAGCCAAGAGCCATGGGGATGGGGAAACAGCAAGAGAAAAGGCCCTGAGGCAGGAATGAACTTGGTGTGTCCGAGGAAGAGAAAGCAGCTCAGGGAACTGGAGAGACCGAGGATGAGAAGGGCAGATCAGTGAGAACAGAGGTGTGCAAGGGGCAGTCAGGCAGGGCTTGCAGGCTTTGGTTAGGAATTCAGACTTTATTTTAAGGGACAATGGGGAGCCGCTGGAGAGTTTCCAGCAGGAGAGAGACATGATTGAGACACGAACATGTTGAAAAAAAAATTACTGTCTGGCTTCTGTATGGAGAATAGGTTTGGGGTGAGGGCAAAGGCAGAGAGACCAGCAGAGGCTTTGCCCCTCACGTTTGCAGAAGCTGGGACAAGGGTACACATAAAGGCCCCCCCATGCCATGTGTTTAAATACCTAATAGTTATAGCAGGCAAGCAAACTGTTAAATAAAACATGTTCTAGCCTCCTACCCTGACACTATACTGTCATAATGTCAAAACTGGAAAATATATGTCAAGTCACAGTTTTACATGACTGAGAGTCAACACAATATTAAAGATGACTGAATTTAATTACTGTGAATTAAGTGTTTTGTTCACAGATGTGATTTTCAAGGAATAATAAAATAATACATAATTTATAAATAATTATGTATTTATTCTATTACATTTATTTTTCTTTCTTTCTTTTTTTTTTTTTTGGCAGCTGGCTGGTACAGGATCCGATTCCTTGACCTTGGTGTTATACCTCCACACCCTAACTTTATTTTTCTCACTGTCCTTTCAGAAACATCACTAATTATGTTGTTTAAGTCAAGTTTTTTTGCATCATCTGTGTCCTATTGACAGTAGTGATCATAGGATTAAAAATTACATTCAAACTATAAAAATTTGATTACATTTTTATTAAAAATGTAATTAAATTAAATGTAAAATATTAAAATTTAAAAGTTGTTCATGTTTTCATCTAATATACGCAAAATTAAAACTAAAATGGAAAATAGAATTACAATAAGTGAATGTTAAATTTTAAAATAAAAATTATTTTTAAAAATCTGAAATTATTTTTTGAAAATCTAATTAAATATTTTTAGAAAGGTAAAACCATTTGGAACTCCAGTTGCAATGTCAGCATCCATCTCATTGCCACCGTAAAGAACTGGTATCACATATCACACAAGTTACATCTAGACAAACATGTATGCAAAGTTAAAAGTAAATGTCAATATTGCAAAATGTCTCTCAGTTACCATGTGCGACTCTTGTGAAGATAGAACTAATTTGTGAATCCTTCTGGAACCACACATTGGAATTCAGAGATATTGTCCTCCCGGCACTGCTGGGAAACCATACTTCATTGGGCAAGAGCCTATTGTACTCATGCTGCCTGTGGGGAAGTACATGACAAATTAATTGATTTGTCTATTCTCTTATCCAGTGATTCCACCACTCAAATCCTTCCCACACCTTGAAACAGTGCCTGTCTTGAATGTCAGCAGACATAGAAACTACTGAAAACACTGGGATGAAGTTGTCTTTAGAGATAGGGATAAGCACTTCCCTGGGGTCTGAATGGGGCTAGTCATGAGAGTGGACATTTAGTGTTATGGGCTGAACAGTGTCAGCATTGAGCACCAGTCCTAAATGACAGAAATGCCTTTACAAAAATTTCCTGTATGTGTTCATGACATGAGGAACCCTCTAGAGCATGAGCCAAGGACAAGGGTCCCTCTTTCCTGGTTCTGAGAAGGTACTACCATCCAGGGGTACCAGGCAAGGGCTGATAGGAAGGAAGGAAGCCCCAAGTCTAGCTTAGGGGAACAGTGACTAAGCCACGATCTCTGATCTGAGGAACAGGAAGACCCTGAGGAGCAGAAGTAATGACTGGGAAACCCTCAAAGACCAGCAGGCACCATTGAGGCAGATTCCCTCATTGCTTCTACCTGACCATTGGGAGCTTTAAACACTCCGAGCACACACAATTCAACTTAATTTGGGAACAAATGAATGCTAGCCTTCTCAATGGTTTGCTAATCAGTCAACTAATTAAGCAAGCATACTAAGTGATACTTCATGTCAGACAGTGTGCAGGGCCTGGACGTCAGTGTTGCTTAAGGTTGGGGAGATCCTTGAGATTTGCTGGTCACAGTCTCACAGGGAAGGCAGAGGCTGACCAACAAGTCTGGTGGGCAGAGTGGCAAGGAAGACGGTTTGGGTGCTATGGGAATGTGTGGCTCCACTGGAATCTTGTCCATAGAAAATCTGAACCAGGGCGCTGAGCTCCCCAGTGGACGTCCCTCTCAGGACAGCTGCCTGAATGAGAGAGGGAGCTAACTTTCCAGCCAGACCGAATTATGTCCTCAATTTAATATTGCTAAATGGCATCCACAGAGATAATCTGGTGGAATTTCACTTGTATAATCAAGGGCCTGTTTGGTGGATTACTTCATAACAAGTCCCACTCTGATTATTTCCAACCTCAAAATGGATGTTTTAGGACCAGTTGATGTCCAGGAGATTACTTTCTTGGTCCTCACATCTGATCCTTACAAATAACTGGGATGCGGAGAAAGGAGGCAGAACGGCTCCAAGAAAAGAGTATGGACTTTGGAGTCAGGCCGACCTGGCTGTGCTGGGCTTCCAAGCTGTGTGACCGTGAGAAAATACCTCCCTTTTCTGAGCCTCAGTTTCCTCATCTGTAAAATGGTGACACTGATATCAATCACTGGATTACTGAAAGGATTAAAGGCAGTAATGAACTGTAAAGACCTAACACAAGGCATACAAGACCAAATGTTGCTTTCTTTTTTCTTTCCTTGTGACATGAAATGACAATACATAAGTTGGATTTTCCAAAGAGGTTGGGTTTTTCCTAGAGGTGATGGCTGGGAGGTTAGTTAAAATGGCTAATGGTTAGTTTAAAACTCTTGGGACAGATTTTTAAAACATAAATTAGCCCTATTTTATTCTAATTACAAAAGTAATACTCAATTTCAGTTAGTATGGTGGACTTGGTGGGGTTGGTGACTGCTATGGGTTAAATGTGTCCCCCAAAAGTTCATGTAATGGAAAATTGACCCCCATTGTAACAGTGTTAAGAGAGTGCAAAATCCAATCCAATTATGGTATTTGAAAAGTGGGGCTTTTAAGAGATGATTAGATTGTGAGGACTGTGCCCTTGTGAATGAATTGATTCATTCATGGAGTAAAGGGCATGGTTCTGTTGGCTTTATAAGGAGAGCAAGTGGGAAGGTTAGCGTGCTCTCTTACTCAGCCCATTCTACCCTATGACACTCCTCTGGTCATCATGGGACCCTGTAGAAAGTTCCCACCCAGAAGAAGGCCCTCACCAGGTGAGTTCCCTGGCATGTGGACTTCCCAGCCTCCAAAACTGTAAGAAATAAATTTCATTTCTTTCCAAATTACCCAGCGTCAGGTATTCTATTATGAGCAACAGAAACAGACTAATACAGTGGTTAAATCTTTTTATTCATGGTATACTCTCATAGAAATGTTTGAAAATATTGTCTACCAAAAAATCATTTCCAACTCCTACCTGTTATTACTTCACCCATGGACAGCTCACCTCCCACTATAGAGAAGCAAAATGCCCAGACTCACTTTCCCAGGGTCTCTTGTGGGTAGGATGCAGGCAGGTTACCCTGACCTGGCCAATGGGATCTGAGGAAAAGTCTGAGAAGTAACTTCTGTAGAGACTTCCTGCCCTAATAAAAGAGATACATGGTAGGTAATGCTGCCTTTCTTCTTCACTGGCCATGGCCACCTCTTTTGCAGCCATCTAGTGACCATGATGAAGAATATTACCGATGGATTTCAGAGTAGGGAGATGGAAAGTTCTTGGGTTCTTGACATCATTGATGGGTCATAAAGTTATCCTGAGAATCCTAAATCTTTGCTACACATCTTTGCAAAAATGCAAAAAGGGTCAGAATCCACTGCACCCCATTTAAATAAGCATCCCAAGCAAAGAAATAGTCTTAAAAGTTGGTCTAGACTTGATGACATTCACAAGGCCCTACCAGAGAAAATGTGACATATCTCCATAGAATATTTCTATAATTCAGGGCACATGGATTCCTGTGAGAAAGAGGCATTGCTGAAGATGGTATCATGGTCAAAATGATTAAGCGCACATGGAAATGAACTATTATTTTGGTATATTCAACAAATGTCACAAATAAGTGAATATTTTTACCCCAAGAACCAGAAATTTAAAATATGAAAGAGTCTTTAAGATAACTATGTTTAGAATGTTCAAAGAGCCAAAACCTATAAGGCTAAAACAGGATGACATAAAGAGAAAACAGGTGGGAAAAAGAACCAAAGAAAAATTCTAAAAATGAAAAAAAAATTATTAAAATAAAAGTTTACTAAATGAGTTAAACAGATTAAATATAGTGGAAGAAATAATTAATGAATTTGAAGATAGATCTGATCAACTTATCTAGAATATAGCACGAGTCAAAGGTATACCTGTTCCCCAATGTTCATTGCAGCACTCTTTACAATAGCCAAGAGTTGGAACCAGCCCAAATGTCCATCATCGGATGAGTGGATACGTAAAATGTGGGATTTCTACGCAAGGGAATTCTACTCAACTATAAAAACAAATGAA